TGAGATGGGGTTATTTAAGTATTATACTTCCTCTTCTGTTAATCTGGGCAATTTATATTTTGGCAAATATATGTCAATTTCACTAAGATTGTCAAACTTGTTGACATATAGTTGGAATTTTTTTTAATTTTAGCTGAAACATAATAAACTATTTTCCAGTCTCTTACCTTTACTTTGTGTGTGTCCCTCTGCTTCAAGTGTGTTTCTTGTAAACAACATATTGTAAGATTCTGGTTTTTAATCCACTCTGCTATCCACTTCTGCTTTATGGGAGAGTTTATACCATTCACATTCAGTTATGATTACCAACTGTTTATTTCCCTCCATTCTATTCCCCCCATTTATCTGTTTCTCTCCCCTTTCATGTTTTCCCTCCTCATCGATGTTTCACCTCTGATCATTGCCTCTCCAATCTGCCCTCCCTTCTGTCAGTCCCCCCTTTACTCAACTCCCACCCATCCTACTTCCCTGTAGAGTAAGATAGAGTTCCATACCCAACTGATTGTGTATGTTATTCCCTCTTTGAGCCAATTCTGATGAGAGTAAGGTTCAAAAGATCCCACTGCCCACCCTCTGATATTCCCCTCCACTTTAGTAGGTCTTTCACATCTCTTCATGTGACATAATTTGCCCATTTTACCTCTTCCTTCATTTTGCTCCTGATACAATCCTCTTTTTCACCTCTTAATTTTTATTTTGAAGTTGTCTTCTAACTGCATCCTCTGTCTCTGTATACTCCTAACTGCAGTTATGGTGATACAGTTCTTAAGAATAACAAGTATCATTTTCCCATGTAAAGGTGCAAACCATTTACCTTTATTGAATTCCTTATATTCTCTTTCTTTTTTTTTCCTTTTATGCTTCTTTAGAATCTTGAAATTGGAAATTGAATTTTTTATTCTGCTGTGGTTTTTTCATCAGAAAAACTCAAAAACCCTCCATTTCATTGAATGACCATTTTTCCCCCTTGAAGGATTATGCTCAGTTTTGTTGGGTAAATAATTGTTGTTTGTAGTCCCACCTCCTATGCCTTCTGGAATATCATGTTCCTTGCCCTACAGTCATTTAATGTTGAAGTTGCCAAATCCTATGTAATCCTGATTGTGGCTCCCTACTATTTGAATTGTTTATTTCTGGCCACTTGCAATATTTTTTCCTCAACTTGGGAGTTTTGGAATTGGGCTATAATGTTCCTTAGAGTTTTATTTTGGGATCTCTTTCTGGAGGCTATTGGTGGATTCTTTCAATGTCTATTTTACCCTTTGATTCTAGGACATCAGTATAATTTTCTTTGATAATGTCTTGAAATATGGTGTCCAGTTTTTTTTTATTATGGCTTTCAGGTAAGTGAATAATTCTTAATTTATCTTTCCTAGATCTATTTTCCAAGTCAGTTGTTTTCCAGTCAGATATTTCACATTATCTTCTATTTTTTAATTCTTTTGATTTTGTTTGATTGATTCATGATGTCTCATAGAATCTTTAGCTTCCACTTGCCCAATTCTAATTTTTAACGAATTATTTTCTTCGGTTAATTTTTGTACCTTCTTTTCCATTTGGCCAATTCTATTTTCTAAGGAGCTATTTTTTTTTTCTCTAAGCTGTTGACTGTTTTGATGATTCTCTTGCATCACTCTCATTTCTTTCCCAAATTTTTCTTCTAACTTTCTTTTTGATTTTTGGACTTTTTTTGAGCTCTTCCAGGAGTTCTCTTTGGGCTTGAGACCAATTCACATTTTTCTTTGAGGTTTTGTATATAGATGTCTTGATAGTGTTGTCTTCTCTTGAGTTTGTATCTTGATCTTACCTCTCTCCATAATATCTTTCTATGGTTAGATTCTTTTTTTCTTTTTCTTTTTGCTCATCTTTTCCAGTCCATTTTCATACTTTTAAAATTCAACTCTGCTCCTGGGGTCGATGGGGTAATGTCCCAAGCTTCTTGTGCCTGAGGCTGCAGGCCCTGGTCACTTGTTTGGTGCTATGCTGGTGTTGCCCTGAGGCCTATGGGGGACCATTGTGCTATGGTGGGACTCCTTGGGACTGGTCGTTTACTTAGTGCTGCTCTGTGTATGGGGTGGTGGTGGATATTGCTGCATGGTGCTATGTGTATCTGGCAGCATACCTGGTATTGTACTGAAACTTACAGATGGTCTGATGTTGGGGTCCTGTGCTGGGATACATGCAGGATTGGGGGGCCTGGAACTGGTGTCTGGTTGTTCACCTGGTGCTGTGCTAAAGCACATAGTGGACCCTCATTCTGCTCTTTGGCTCCCCTGGTTTTGCAGGGAAGTGGGGGGGTGGCTGGTGCCACATGATGCTGCATGGGTCTGGCTTGGTGGTTCACCTGGTGTTGTGTTGATGTCCATGCAGGTGAGGGAAAGGGAGACAGTGGTACTATGCTAGGGCTGCATGGGAGGGGTGCTAGCCATTTGCTGTTGCTGCAAAGGAACTATGAGGCCTCAGTCACTGACATGCACTGGGGATCAGGGCCTCCTGCCGGCTTGCTGAACATTGAGCACACCCTTCTTTTACTGGTGTGAGGCAGACCTTTTGTACTTACCTTCTAACTTGGCTTGGGCTAGAAAATTGTTTCACCCCATCTTTTTGTTGGTTCTGCTATTCCAGAATTCATTTTAGTGTGTTATTTTATACTTGTTTGTAGTTGGATATGAAAGAGTTCAGATGATTTCTTGCTTACTTTGCCATCTTGGCCCCAGAAGTCCCACATCAGACTTATATGGCATTCAAAATACAAATAACTTTATCTTATTTAAAATCTATACAGAAGAACACACTTTCAGGAACTTTAAACAAAGATTCTAACAGAGGTAATGTTAAACAATTTTATTTATGATCTTGCAAAGAGGTCTTACCAAATTTCTGCCTCTGTGGTAACAAGGCTGCAGTCTCCAGGAAAACAGTTTGGCAGGCAAAAAATAATATATTTTTCATGCTCATATTTAGTATATATAAGTTACATAGTAGAGTAGACCGGCTTTTTTTGTTACTTTTAAAAATGGGCTTTCATATCATATATCTACATGATTAGAATACACACCTGACTCGTCTCTCATTTATATGTTATCTGCTCCCCTATTCCTCCAATAAAACATGCCCAAATGAGACAAATCTCAGAAACTGGTGGAAACATACCAGTGTCTTGGAAGATGTTTCCAAGAAATAATTTTTGGCATATATATATATATATGTATACATACATATATATGTGTATGTATATATGTATATATACATATATATGCACACACATATACACATATAAACATATATGCACACAAAATATAACAATATGTATATGTGTATATCTAGATACAGTACACATATATATGTATATACAAGTATATTTACATTTGTACATATATAGACATACCTTCGATATATTCTGTCATTATCATGTAGGTAGACTTCTGGTTCAGGAAGAATGAGGAATTGTATATCAGATGAAATTCAAGATGTAAATTGGATTAGATGACTCCTGACATGTCTCCCAGTACTACTTTTTTATGCTTCTATGATTATGTTTTAGATATGCAAGCAAAATAAAATGTATCACTTTATAGAAATTCATTTATTTTTAAATAAAATGTTTAAAAGTCTTCACATTAATTTACATTAGCTATTTTTTTCGACAATTTTGTGCATGGTATAAGATCAAACGTAATTAGACTTAGAAAACAAAGATGCATATGAGTTAAGACTCTTCCACTTTCAGCAGAGCTTAGTCAAATCACTTTGCTTCTCTGAGATTCACTTTCCTTAACCATAAAATGATACAAATAACACCTTTCATAACTACAATTTAGAGTTATTGTTGAGATCAAATGTAGGAATGTGAAAATTAACAACAATCAGCAAGCATTTGTTAAGTGCCTACAATGTGCTAGGCACGGTGCTAAGCACTTGAAAAACTGTAAAACATTACAGAAATATAAAGTATCATTAAAATTTTGCTCACATAGGAGAGTGTATGTTCTTTGGAAAATCATATCTCTTAGTATGTTCCTGATCCTTGAAGTCTGGATTTCAAAACTTATATTCTAAAGTCAGATATACAAGTGAAAATAATTTTTTAGTCAATAGGCACATAAACAGCAGAACTCATTTAATAAAAAGCAAATATACAGTCAAGGAAAAGACTTTTTCATTAATCCCTGTGATGAGTATTTCCAGCATATAAGTTTTCTCAAAGCAGTCTTCATGTCCTTGTTCCTCAGGCTATAGATGATAGGGTTCACAGTTGGGGGCACCACTGTATAGAACATGGACAACAATAAATCCAGAACTGAGTCAAAGTCCAAAGGTGGCTTTAAATAAGCCATGGCCCCAGTTATGATAAAAACCATGAAAACAATGAGATGAGGCAGGCTAGTGGAGAAAGCTTTTGACCCACCTTTTGTCGCTGGAATCTTCAGCACAGTTGAGAAGATGTGACCATAAGAGATGATGCTAGAAATGAAGCAAAAAATCCCTAACACCAATGCAGTAGCAACACTCGCATAAACTTCAGTGTGTTCTTTAGAGCAGGAGATTCTAAGCAAAGAAGGGACATCACAGAAGAACTGATGGATCTCTTTGGGGCCACAGAAGGGTAAAGAGAATGTATTAGCTGAATATATTGCCCCAACCACACCTCCACTGAACCAGGAAGCCACTGCCATCCTCAAACAAGATCCTTTGGTCATGATGGTTTCATACTGTAGAGGCTGGCAGATGGCTATAGAGCAATCATAAGACATCACTGTGAGGAGTGAAACTTCTGATCTTGCAAATAAAACCACTAAAAAGAGCTGCAACACCCACCCATAGTAAGAGATAGAGCAGCTGTGACTCAGGGAGTTGGCAATGGATTTGGGAACAGTGACAGAAATAAGGCAGATGTCTAAAACAGATAAATTCTTCAGGAAGAAGTACATGGGAGTGTGGAGGTCCCTATTTAGAGAGATGAGGGTGAAGATGAATAGGTTCTCCATCAGAGCCATCAGGTAGATGAACAAGAAGAGCATGGCATGTAAGACTTGTAGTTCCCAGTTTTTGTAAAAGCCCATGAGGAGGAATTCTATAACTATAGTGAAATTACCCATGTTCTGAGATGTTTTTTCAATGATCTGCTGGAAAAAAAGTAGGTTCCAAATGATCAGAAGATTACAAAATGAGCTGGGTTTCAGAAGATCTGAATTCTAGTTCTGAATTTCTCATTTTGTAACTTCAAGCAATTCATATCTCTCTGTCAATCTCAATTTCTCATTTGCAAAATGAGAGCATTGGATGAGATAATTTTAAGGGTTTTTGTAATTCTTAAAATATATACAGAATTCAGAATAGGATTCTGAACTGGAAAAAGAAAATATCAAAATTATCTCTTGAGATATTTATCATTTTATGGTGTACATAGCATATGCCTGACAACAAACCTTTGAAGTAGATAGTTTGAATTATCCATCCCAATTATAGATAAGTTATTGGTGCTCAGAATAGAGTGATTTTTTCCACTGTTCCCAGATCAATGTCAAAGCCTAAAATAGATGCCCTGATTTCAAGGCCACTTTAATAGCATATAAAGCCTCCTTCCAAACTTGACACAAATTTTTACTTCTTCATTGAAACATATCTGTCTTTCCCAGCTTCAAAACTGATAAGGAAGGAATATCTTTAGAAGTTTTTCATAAGTCGCATGACCCATAATGATAAATTGTTTAGCCCATGACTAGAACTGTTATTCAAATGAAGCCCAAGGCACATATTTAAACTCAACACAGTTTATTTGATTGTTTTTCTCTTTTTTGGCCACAGACAATGCCATTTTTATTGTAGACTATCCTCTTGGCATGCAAATCAACTATCAAATAGAAAAGTAACTTCCTAAACATTACCTTTACTGGTAGAACTGTTCTATCATTTTTTTAATACTGCAGGAGGTATGGCAACTAATTCACTTTTCCTGTGTTGAAATATACTTAATAATCTAGGATGAGATAAATATATAGTATGTGTAAAAAAGGAAAGCTGTGAGAAGATATACTACCAAATTCTATTCTGGGTCCTCTTATTTTATTTATTATATATTATCACTTGTTGACTTAATCACCTTTCATAGGTTTAATTTTTATCCCTTTTCCTATATTTTCCACATCTTTATAGGCTTTCCTAATACCTATCCCAAGATCCTCAATGTTATCACCAACTGACCACTTGTTATTTTAAATAGGATGTCTCATAGGCATTTCAAACTCACCATTTCTGAAATAGAACTCATTATCTTCTACCTCCAGTTCCTGATACCTAGCCTTTCTCTCAACCTCCCATATTTCTGACAAGGGTACAACCATCCTTCCAGTCACCCTGGTTCATAATTTCAGCTTAAATACCATTCCACAATAGAGTCTGTTGCCCAATCTTGCTTTTCCTATTTCAACATTTCTCACAATCATTCCCTTCATTCCACTCTTATAGCCATTATTTAGTTCAGGCCTTCATCCCCTCTTGTAGACAGTACTGTAATAATGTTCCAATTAGTATACATGCCTTGCCTCTCCCTACTCTAATATATTTCCTACATAAGTTCAAAAGTAATTTTGTTAACATACAAGTATGATCATGTCACACATCCCTTGCCCCCCAGCTACTCAATAAATTACACTGGCTCGCTATTACCTCTAAAATCAAATATAACTTTTTTTTGTTTGACATTTAAAGCTCATGACATGGACCCATCCTGTATTTCTAGTCTTATAAAACATCACTTTTCTTGGTGTATTCTATACTCCTGTCAAACTTTTTGCTATTCCTCACACACAAAACTCTACCTCCCAAATATTTAAATGTATGCCTTTCTATTGTCTATTCCCTAAGCCTAGAATACACTACCTGCTTCTCTCTCCTCTTGAAATCACTGGTTTCCTTTAAGACCGAGCTAATGTCACTTTCTGTATAAAACCTTTTCTCAACCCCCTAGTTACCAGTGTTATACTTCCCTCCCCTGGATAATCTGCACTTGTTTCATATGTGTTTATCAATATTTATCAAGATATAGGCATTGATATCTATATCAATATTTTGACTATTCTATTTCTATACACACACACACACAAGTGTATATATGTGTGTATATAAGTATAGATAGTCATATCTTACAGGTATATCCATAAGATACAGTTTTATGTACATACCTATATCTACACATACACACCTGCACATATATATGGGCATCTATGTGGCACAGTGGGTAGAGTGTTGGGCCTAGAGTCAGGAAGACTCATCTTCTTGAGTTCAAATCTGGTCTCAGATACTTACTAACTGTGTGACCCTGGGCAAATCATTTAACCCTGTTTGCCTTGGTTTCCTCATCTATAAAATGACCTAGAGAAGGAAATGGCCAACCACTCCAGGATCTTTGCCAAAAAAACCCTAAATGGGGTCATGAAGTGTCAGATATACAAACTAGTACTTGAGTTATACTAAGAATATTACATATATACCTATTCTCCAGGGTCAGACTTTTGTGTGTAATTTAGGAAATTTGTTTTAGGGCACAATTGCTTCATCTTCCTTATCAAAAATATGTTTCCAACACTGCCTGCAATTTTTCACATCATTCTTTGAAATTTTATCAATAATTTAAAAAAATTGAATTAGATGCATGCTCTGTTTTAGAATTCAAACATAACATGAAATTTATTATAAGCAGTGAGGACTCACTTTGAGTTAATTCAGTCAGATAGGCTTCTTCTAAGGCTTAGTTGATGTGAGCTGAAACAATTAGAATTTTGATGGGAAAGATAAAACAACAGTTATATAATCTTAGATCACAACATAAAGAGGGCAAAAAGAACCCCCAAATGGCAATCTTTAGCAGATACTGGGATAGCATATGGTAACTACAGTAATAGAATGATATGAAAGCAGGCTCCCAGAGGGAAGGGAAAAAAGGTAGCAAAAGGCAGAGGTGGAGAAAATAATTATTGTTAGATAATACCTAAAACAATTTTCTTCTCTTTAATTTTGCCTATGAGCAGCATTTATTTTTACAAATAAGTACCTATTTGCAAATAAAGTTAGTACTTAATTCTATATGCATTGTATGTAAATAATATGTTAGGCCTCTGAATGAAAAGACCATAAATATTAGCTCCTCTTAATATACTCACACTATCTTTCATGCTTCACATTTTATCAAAATTATAGAAAAACATTTTGATATAATCTTGCTCAAGGAAGCATCTGTATTTTGATATCAGAAAGTAGAAATTCACACCTTATAACTAGTTAAATTCTTCAAGATTTTGGTGGAAAGTAAAATTATGATATCTCCAACCTGAGAGCAGCAAGTTTATGTTGGGGCAGAGATTTTTCACAAATGGTGGGGGAAGTTTGTATATCCTTTGGCGACCTGAAGAGGTAACAGAAAATTATGCTTTCCTTTCCATCAGTTCCTGGGCTCAATATTAACCCAAACATATAGAGATTTACTGCACTGGAGTGAAAGACTCAGGTCTGTTTAGTTATGGGAGTCATTTTACCATTTGTTCTGGTATTTAAATTTTCTGTAAACGATCATACACTGTCCTCTATCATGGATGTTGAAATTCTTGTCATCTGGTTGCAAAAGACAGAGTGAAACAAATTTCACTCTTGTAGGATTCTCTGAGGAGAAGTGACCTGGAGTCTGGTTAAATGTTTCTAAAGCCCTTTAGCAACATTTTCCCCAAGTCCCTGAATAGCTCAGACCCAGAATCCTCAGCTGGTTTATTGGCACTACCACATGGGGAATATCACTAGAGGATTTACCATGCTAACAAGAGAAATACCCTAATGTTCATCTGATGCTAATTTTTTTTTTGCTGTAAATAGTATTTTATTTTCCCGAGAATTACATATCAAGAAAATTTTTGGCATTCAGTTTTACAAGATTATGAGTTCCAAATTTTTTGCCTCCTTTCTCTCCCCTGTCCTCTTCTGAAAATGGTAGGCAGTTTGATATAGTTTTTACATATGCTATCATGTAAAACATTTCCACATTTATCACAGCTGTGGAAGAAGAACCAATCAAAAGTAAAAAAAATGAGAAAAAATAGTGAGTGAAAAAAATTATGCTTTGATCTGCATTCAGATTCTATTAGTTCTTTGTCTGGACATGGATAGTATGTTCCTTCATGCATCCTTTTTACTTGTCTTGTATCATTGTATTGCTGAGAAAAAGATGAGTCATTTATAATTGATCATCACATGATGTTGCTGATACTATGTACAGTGTTTTCCTTGTTCTTCTCATTTCACATCAGTTTTTAAAAGTCTAGGTTTATCTGAAATCTGCCTGTTCATCATTTCTTGTTGAACAATAGTGTTCCACTATATTCATATGCCACAGCTTGTTCAGCCATTCCCCAGTTTCGAATATTTTGCCACCATGAATAGGGCAGCTATAAATATTTTTCACATGTAGGTCCTTTCCCCTTTTTTATGATCTCTTTGGATATAGTCCTAGTAGTTGTAATGTTTAATTTTGCAAGGTTAGTGACTTTTCATTGTAGTCCTACCTCCTTTGCCCTCTGGAATATCATGATGTTTGCCTCCTCCACCACCTTGGGATTCAGTATCTTCTGCTGGTTTGCTGAGCTAGGGCTTGCTGCTGGGCTACTTCCTGTCCTGGAGTGTGCTACCCTTTTACATGAGTGAGATGGGGCTTTCTTGCTAATCCTCCAAGTCTCCTTTGGTAAAAGACTGCTACACCCATCTCTCTGCTGGTTCTGTTGTTCCAAGATTTGTTCTGGGATACTATTTTATGTTTGTTTGTTGTTGAATATGGGAGAGCTACAGTGATTTGCTATTTACTCTTCCATTTTGGCCCCTGGAAGCTCAATTTTCATTGTTTTTAAGTGAGAAAAGACTTTATATTGATAATTTTTGTTTGACAGTAGAAAAATGTAAACAAACGCGAACTATTAAGAAAATGTATTTCTTTTTTAAAAAAAAATTATTTCCACAAGATTTTGAGTTCCAGATTTTCTCCCCATCTCTCTGCTCCCCCCACCCCAAGATGCCATGCATTCTAAATACTCCTTCCTCTAATCAGTCCTCCCTTCTA